ACCCACCCAATAAATCACACATCAAAATCCAACAAACTTGTGAACTAGCTTTTCATGTTACTTTTTGTGAAAGGTATTTCAGAAAGATGACGTTTCTCTGCCTGAAATATGGGAACCAAAACCAAAGTAATTTGCTTTCAGTCACCAGGAGACCAGTGAGTAGTTATCTGGATTAGAAACCACAGTCAGAACTATTGAGTGAAGCAAGATCACATCAGCTACTTTTGTCCAGATGATGGAGGGCTAACGTGATAATGGGTTAAAAGATACCAGAAGCTCAGTCTGTTATGACTGAGGCTGCCTTTGAAAAAAAACCCTAAACTAAACCCAAACCAAAAACCAAAACATTTTTAGGTTGTGAAATAACCTCTCTGAAACTTAGGAAACTAAAAACTAAGGTACTTGTAATGTCAGCGAGTCTTGAGAGTTGTAGTTGTGTGCCAGGAAGGAGATGGGTCAAATGATCTAGAGGGACTTTCCACTGATGAGAATGACAGGGAAGAGAAATGAGAAGGTTGATGTGTCATGGCTGAGTTGGGACTGCTTCCTAGGGTGATGGACCTAGCAGGAGGCAGAGCTGAAAGCCGATAGAGAGTCATGCTGAGCACAGGAGTGCTTGTGTCCTGTTCCATCTTTTTGCAACTCTCAGATATGCTCATAAGTGTTTTTATCAGTAGGATGTGCTGATGTGCTCTGCTCTGCCACTAACTTGGGGTTAACCATTAGAATACAGGCTTTTTGAACCTTCAGAGTAGGAGATGTCCTCTTCATCTCCAAAAAGCAAAAAGGCTGTTTTCTTTCCTTTGCTAATGATATATCCTGAATTTCACTGAAAGTTGTCTCTGGAGGGTCTGTGCACCAAGCAAGTGATGTTAATCAGTGTTAAGGAAAAGATAAAGGTTTGTTCAAACACCCACAGGGACTTGTGGGCTTTCTGATGTTGAGATTAGTCCCTTAAATGTGTTTGGCTGTGGACAATAAGAAAGTGACATCTGTTGTACCCTTAAGATTTAGCTGTTTCTTAAACACTGATGTCTTTCTTCCTGCTTTCTGTACAGGTTGTAGGGGATGTCATGAAGACAGAGTGGTACAATTTTCTGATCATAAGCCACTTTTCTAGAAAGCTTTAATTATTCTGTACTCAGTACCTGTAGCCTTAGTTACTGCCATGGTATTTTACATACAGGTTTTAGCCTTGTACAGTATGAATGCGTGGAGTTGAGAGAAGGGGAGAGTATCCTGGACATCTCCACCCACTCACCTGAGAGCACCTAACCCTTCACAATGCATAGACCTTTGAACTGAGCCTGTGTAGGATGCTGTGCCCAAGCCAGAAGCAGTAGCACAGGTGGGGCTGGTGGGGTGCTGTTAGAACACTGGAGATAGGGCATACAGCAATGAAATTGGGGCAGGGAGCCTCAGGTTTGTCTGGATGTCTCAGTGGCACTGGAGGTGGCTTTACAAAATTTCCTTTCTTCTGGAGGATGGGTGACCCAGGCAGGCAAGATGGTAAGGGACACCATGGGGAGGGCTTCTGTCTGGTGTGGAAATGCCACGGTGAAGCTTTGAAACAGCTGCCTTAAATAAGACAGCGTGAACACCAAGGGAGCTAGGTTCCCACTCACCCTTATCACAGACATTCTGTGCAGCCTTGAGTTGACTGTGTAAACTATCTCACTGCCTGTTCCCTACTTCGCTGCCTGAACTCTTAACACATGAAAGCATTTTACTAGCTTCTGTACTACCCACCACCTGAAGATCTACAGTCCCTTCAAAACTTGCCACTTCTGGCCCCATCCGAGTTAGCATGTGTGCAAAAGTGCTTGTACGCACTGACTTGAACTTAAATCCTACTAAATAGGTTACCTGGATTCACACTTCCATACGAAATAATGGCGGTGTAACTAGAAGACTGTGTCCCTAAAATGCATGCATATTTATCAGATAGTCATGTAATCAAGTTTCTTTTTATCTAATAGATTGGTAAGATAAAAGTAAATTGTATGTTTTAAGCAAGGGTGAGACAATTATCTGGGCAGTTGCCTTTTGCATGTTTTCTCTGAATTGCCCTTGGGGTGTTGTTTTTTTGTTGTTTAAATGAAAGGTGATATAGCCTGACATTTTCATTTCTTGAGTTGAAAAAGTATAGGGAAAGATTACATATTTCACTTAACCTTAAATAGGTATCAAATATGCTGTGTACTAATCAGCGTTCCAATCTCGTGTCCAGGAAAACGCGCACTTTTTTGTTGCGGATATGATTATAGCATCGCTAGAGAAAATGAAATGTAATATCCTAAGTCAACAAGCAGAGTCCTGGATTGTGGAGGAAACAAGTGGATCAGATGGCAGCTTTCACACTGATTCAGAGTTATCTTCTTACCCTGGAGTGAAGAAGTCTGATTCTTCTGTTGCCTCTTCAGACAGTGGTTACGAAGGCAAGTTCCTTAGTCTATAACGCAACCTTGTCTGACAGCCTTTGCTGTTTATTTTTTTGCAAGAAAATACTAAAAGGAATCTAGGCATTGCTTTGAAGCAAATCCTCTGTTACCTTCTTTGAGTCTTTTGAGAGCTGCATTCCCTGAGGATCATTATGCTACAAGCGTTTTCCCTGTGGGTCAAATTCTTGCTTTTGAATGCTCATGTCTGTGTTTTCTTTATTATATTTATTTTTTTTTACATGAGAAAGAAAATGTAAGGTTGAAGTGCCACATGCCAAGCACAACTCTCCATAGAGCGTGACAGTAGTTGGCTGTTTTTCTCTCTGCCTTAATCCTTTTTTGCAGGATTTGAACCTTGACTCTTTCCTTCTATGCTTACTTCTGCAGTATGCAGATCAGGCCATGCAGTTGATTTGAGTGAAACTGGCCGGAGTATTCATTCACGTATAGTTTGAGGCAAGATAATAAATATTCCTGGCATTATAATTCTTGAGTCAGCACTTGCATTTTTAAGTAGATTTTAGTCTCTTGAGTAATACAGATTTTAGCAATAGATCTTAAGTCTAAGTGACAACTTCTGTGGAAAAATGAATGGTGTGCTTGCACATGAGAAGGGTAGAGACCACTGGTAATAAAGCTTTTGGTTTAGTCTCTAGAAGCTTCTTCCTGAGAAACTGAGGCACATGCTGTATGACAGACTCCAAAGAATTGGCTTTCTGTGTGTGCATATAAATAAAAAAATAAAATTGCTCTGTAAATACAGGCTCTGTGCTAAAGTTTTGGTAAGTGAAGAAAAACACAAATAAAATTGCAACTACTGTATAAATGCTGGAAAAGTTTAACTGATGTTGCCTTTGTTCCGGACAGGCTGTGCTCTGCTGCCTGTCAGTTCCCCAGTCCATCTACCATCACATCATGAGGTTACCAGATTTCATTGCCACAGTGACTCAGAGGATGAATATGTAATTATTGGTAAGACTTTAAAATTATAACTGCAGAAACAGCTCTATTGTTCAGCTGAATTTATTGCATTGTTTGGAAAATTTATTGGCTTAGTAGATGTTATTGCAGAAGAAATAATATGAGAAAATGGAAAGAACGATGTATGTGTGACTCCTTATTAGAACACATGTGGACATACCAGATGGGTGCAGGATTTCCTTTTTAGAAAAGAATATCTTTGCTGGTTTGAGGGTGTGGTGGGTTGGCCCAAGTGCCAGGTGCCCACCAAAGTGGCTTTATCACTCTGCTCCTCAGATACATAGGGGAGAGAAAATATAATGAAAGGCTCAGGTTGAGATAAAGATAGGGAGAGATCATTCACTAATTACTGTCATAGGCAAAACAGACTTGACTTGGGGAAATTGGTTTAATTTATTACCAATCAAATCAGAGTAGGGTAATGAGAAGTAAAATGAAATCTTAAAACACCTTCCCTCCATCCCTCCCTTCTTTCCAGGCTTAACTTTACTCCCAATTTCTCTACCTCCTCCCCAGTGGAGCAGGGGGACAGCGAATGGGGGTTGTGGTCAGTTTATCACATGTTTCTGCCGCTCCTTCCTGCTCAGGGGTAGGACTCCTCAGACTCTTCCCCTGCTCCAGTGTGGAGTCTCTCCCATGGGAGGTAGTCCTCTACGAACTTCTCCAATGTGAGTCCTTCCCATAGGCTGCAGTTCTTCATGGCTCCAGTGTGGGTCCTTCCACGAGGTGCAGTCCTTCAGAAACAGACTGCTCCAGCGTGGGTCCTTCACGGGGTCACAACTCCTGCCAGCAAACCTGCTCCAGCATGGGCTTCTCTCTCCACGGGTCCACAGGTCCTGTCAGGAGCCAGGTCCAGTGTGGGCTTCCCATGGGGCCACAGCCTCCTTTGGGCATCCACCTGCTTTGGAGTAGGGTCCTCCACAGCTGCAGGTGGATCTCTGCTCCACCGTTAGCCTCCATGGGCTGCAAGAGGACAGCCTGTCTCACCATGGTCTTCATCATGAGCTGCAGGGGAATCTCTGCTATGGTGCCTGGAGCACCTCTTCCCCCTCCTTCATCACTGACTGACCTTGGTGTCTGTGGAGTTGTTTCTCGTGAATATTCTCACTCCTCTCTCTGCTGCTGTTTCTGCAGCAGTGGTTTTTTTTTTCCACCCCTTCTTAAATATATTGTCACAGAGGTGCTACTGCTGTCGCTGATGGGCTCAGCCTTGGCCAGTGGCAAGTCTATCTTGGAGCCAGCTGGTGTTGGCTCTATCGGACATGGGAGAAGCTACTAGCAGCTTCTCACAGAAGTCACCCTTGAAGCGCCCCCGCTACCAAAATCTTGCCACGCAAACACAGTACAGAGATTGAAATTATGTCTAAGGATTAAACCCAATGAATGTGGGTGAGCAAAGTGTGAAATTCGCACCTCAGCCAACTACAGCAACGCTGTTTGAGAGAATTTAGGACATGATTGTTTCCTAATTAAAGAGGTTGATTAGGTTTTAGGCAGCCCTCCCTCTACTTCAGGACTAGAGCAGAATGTGTCTGCAAGAGTTATTTTGACATGTATGAATGGGGAAGCGTTTGTCTTGAGAGCAATATGCATCACCAATGTGAACACTTTGTCTGCATAAGCATATTTTATCTATATAAATACATTGAAGTGATGTGTGCTTTAATTCCATTCATCTCACCTGTTACTAGCTTGTTTATAGTATTAGCTGACATGTTTGTGATCGGTGCCTCCGAATACCTGTCAGTGTCCAAAAAAATTAATGTGCTCTCTGCTGGTTCTGTATATTATTATTAATTATGTCTAGTGCCTTCTGGCTGGACCGGGACTAGCAGGCACTTAGTCTCTCTTTACTGATTCTCAGGCTTTTGAAGGGAGACTGATGGTGATGATGTGAGGCATAGCTGCTAGGGAGTACTATTCATCAGCAGATGTCAGAGATCTGCAGAGGAGATAAGACTCCTTATGCCTGTTCTACAATCAGAGCTGAGGTTATTTCCCACATCCAGCAAGGGTGTTGTAAAGATGAATATATTTAAAACTGACACTGTGTTAACACAGAAGGTAGATTTAAAACAGTGCTGAGTAACAGAAGCTTTGTTTCTTAGATGGCTTGATAAAATTTTCTCCTTTACCGCAGAACTTGAAGACCTTGAAAATCTGTCTGTCACCACAGATGAAAGGTAATGTTATGTATCTTTACTGTAATAGCGTGGTGGCACTACCTTTTCTGCTGGACCAGCTTTCTGATGACTCTTCTGGCTGGGGCGGGGAAAGATGTGGGAGTGGTAAATGTGGCCCTCCCAAGGAAGGGGAAGGAATGCTGCTTGACAGCAATTGTCTGTGGTTTGGCTTAACAGAGCATTTCTCTGGTCCTGGAGTCTCGCTGGAGGGTGGTGGCTGTGGCTCTGAGAGGGCCTGGGTGTATCAAAGCGAGGGGATAGGAATGAAAGGATGGGAGAAAACTCTTTACGGATGCAGAAGAGTCAGCAGAGCTGCTGATGACGTGCTGCTACTTTTCACTCACTGTCTGTGTTGCTTAACTTTCAGATCATCTTTTGAACCAGGCAGCAATTCTGCTGAAGCAACAGCCCAGGAGTTGTGCCGAGCTTTCAGAAAACACTGGTTGCAGACAGACTCTGCAGTTCAACTGTCTGGTTGCCTGAGCTCATCTAAGCAGAGAGTGAGTCTGAGCTGAAAACAGCGGAGTCTTTATTTGGTTCCCCATATAATCATTTGCTCACTGCAGCTGCTTCACTGTTAGGGAAAGGGGGACACTGCATTTAAAAATAAAAAAATAGAAAAAAAAAATACAGATGAGTACTTAGTTCACTTTAGATAAATTTTTAGAAGATTCCTCCTCTCTTTTGCAATTTTCAGCACATTTAAGATGTGCAGTTGTGAACAATCAGGATGTACTTTCTACTGGGACTGATGCAAGGGAGTTTAACTGAGGGGGGAGTACATGCAGGTGAAAACTAAACGTTAAAATCCTGGAGTATAAAGGGAGATGTTTCATAGCATTTAACATATGTCCAGCTGATGGGCTGTTCATCTTCATGAGTTTGTCTTTCAAAACAGTTTGTGCTGAAAGAAGAGATTCCAAGAGAGCTTGAGTCCAGTTTGAATCTGGCTGAAGAAATAAAGATCATATCAAAATTAAGAGGATCTTCTGGCTGGACCCCACCAAGATCACAGATTATATTTAATATTCACCCTTCAGTCAAGTAAGTCTAAAGGTTCTGAGTATTGTTGTTTATAGTACAGCCTGGGGATTTGTCTAAAACCTGCTGAAGTTCATGGAAGGAGCCTGGGTAATTTAACAGAGCTAAGATTAGAGCTAGTGCATGGCACAGCGTTCTGCAGTGTTTGTCACCAGCTTCACTAGAAGTCAGGTGGCATCTTTTTCCATCTGTTGGCACATCCTGATTAACGTGGCATGTGCACTTTTACATGTGATAATACACACACTGTTTGTTACAGTGGCAGCATGCCTAGCTGGACTCCTAAAAAGTTTGATTTTTTGAGACTGCCTGGAGAATATTCTTAAGAATTTCTCCACTTTCCTGTTGATATTTTGTGGGTAGTAAGTCTTCAGAAAGGGGGGAGAAAACGGGTTGTGTTTGGGGAAACTACTATCTCACTTTGCATAAAGTGCTGTTAAATGCACACAATAGGCAAACTGGCTAATTCCCTGTAGGTCCAGTTGCTTTTTCAGTTGCAGATGTGGATTTCCTCCTTCAGTTTCCCCCTTGATACTGATGCCACCTTAAGAAATGGAAAAGAATGTAATTCTTGCAACAAGCCATATTTAGAAGCAGTAATTGACAGTATGTTCTCCACAGAATATCTTAGACTCTCACTAAAATAATAATCTGCATCTACTTCCAGAACCCCCTTCTTCGTGTGGAAGAGTAGGTAGGAGTCAGCTCCTAATTTGGACATTTTCACTAGTGCCAGTGTAGCTCTCTTGCATTTTGGGAGAATGTTAACTAAACTGTGTTTTTGATGCTGGAAGGTGTTAACTATTTGCCTCTGTATGCAGGAGAGATGTCGTGGTGGCTGCCCAAAACTTTACGTGTGTTGGTTGTGGAACGCCGATAGAAAGCAGTAAGTGTACTAAAATGGAAAAACCTAATAAATCCGTTACCAGTAATCAGGCTGTAATCTTCAACATAGATGTACCTCAATTACAAAATTATCTGAGAAGAAAAATCTCATTGTTGAATGTGCCTGCAATCATAAAACAGACAGTGGGATCTTACCACTGCCTGGAATTTCTCATTGAAGACAGAATACAATACTTCATAGGTCTCCTTCTCATACACAGGAAAAATTTGTGACAGTCAACAATAAAACAGGAAAAGCTATTAAAAAATCAAGCTTCCAGGCTGGAAAGTGCTGGTTTTACATCTTCCAATGGTTTATTTTGATAATTATTTCTCTGTGTCAATTTACACATTTCCAGAAGGCTCTTTTTAGATACTTTATGGAAGCTTATGGAATAATTGGTTTTGTTCTTTTGGGGATGTCTTTTTAAAACTTTTTTTTTCCTTTAAATCTTGGTCACAAAATCCTGCTTGTGTTTTATTTGTTATACTTCGTGAGAACTGCTTGAAAGCATGATGATTTGCAGGTCTGACAACCAGACCTTACCTAAGAAATCTTTGAAGTGGCTTTCAAGACTTGTTCTGGGTCTGCGCACAGAAGAGCAGCATTTGTGATGGCCTGTAAAGAAAATACCAACAATCTGTGATGGCACAGTAACTGGAGCAAACCTGAGATGCTGAGATAGCTGGGGAAAACCCACAGGCCTCTTTATAGGAAAAAGTATTATACAAATGTGATTCCAAGATCAGCTTGTCTTTCCATTTGATGGGAATATTTTGTTGCGTGTTTTATCATGTCTCTCCTTTGTGGGTAAAGTGACAATGGTTTCTCTAAGATCTCAGGGTGATAAATATAATCAATTCAGTTTGACAAATGTGGATATTTCTCTTCTGATGCAAACTACAGACTTTATGCATGTGTTTACCACAATAATAAAAGCTCTCACTTAAAAAAAACCCACACCCTTACCCCTCACTCCAGTAGATCTGAGTTATTTAGACAGAATAGTCCTACAGACAAGAGGTGTGTCCCTTACATATTACAATTACTCATAATTTCATTGCTATCTGCCTGCAGAATATATCAGGAGACTCCGCTATTGTGACTACCTGGGGAAATACTTTTGTGACTGCTGCCACAGCTACGCCCAATCTTCCATTCCTGCCCGAATACTTTTGAAGTGGGACTTCAAAAAATACTACGTATGCAACTTCTCCAAACACCTACTGGACAGCATATGGCAGCACCCCATTTTCAATGTGTCCTGTATTAACAAAGCCCTCTACACAAAAAGTAAAGAAATGGACAGGGTGAGGGTAAGCGTGGCCTCTTTTTATTGGGAATTCGTGGGTCTGAGACTTTTGGGAAGAACTCCTTAGGGCAGGTTATCCTTTGCTGTGGGCTTATATGGGAAGGAGTCTAAGCGCAGAGAAACCAACGCCGCCTTGTCCCATCACCGCTTCTGGGACTTGCCCTCTCTCTCCTCAGATGAAGCAGGAGGAGGGAGAAGTTTCCAACCTATTGCAGGGGTCTCATTTTCCCCCTCGTCTTTGGGAGGTCTTTTCCTTATTGGTTTTCAGTTTTAGTTTATTGAAGGGAGCTGCAATCCTGCAGTAAATATTTACCTCTGCTTGGCAATTGGCTGTTGGAAAGCTCCAGAAGTTTTGAATGACTTCTTAATTTTGTCGGCCATTAGAGAAAGCAGCTTGGGCTTATCAAAGGGCAGCACCTCCTACAGTTTGAGGAAGGGTGCTCTGCGAAGATTACAAGTTGCTCTGCACTCCCCTCTTGGCTGAGGAGACACTTATCTCTTCTTACCAGGGTCTGGGTCTAGTGCCTTGGTGTGCCAACATGGAGCCATTTGTAACATTGCGAATTGCTTCGCTTGTCAGTGAACAAAAGTGGCCATCCATTGCATTCCTTGGCCTTTCGTGCATTAGAAAATCCATTTGTTTAATTCCGTGCTGCGTGTGAAGTGCCTATTTTTAGATGTGGCTTGATGTATTGACAAGGGTTGCTAACTCAAATTGTGATGTTCCTCACATATGAATATATAAATGCAGTTGCTTTTAATTTTTAAATTATTTTGTTTTTCCTTTTTGTCTTTTAGGAGGTGCAAGAACAGCTTTTTCATTTAAAAAAGCTTTTGAAAACCTGCAGGTTTGGTGAGAGGTATGGACCATGATAGTGCATGAAAAATAGCTTATTAAAATGTGCCTAAGGTGCTTACAGAGCCTGCTTCTCTAGAGACATTTGATTGCAGTTTTAAATCAGTTAATATGATCATTAGAGAAAATTCCAGTAACAAAACTTCTTTCTATTGCAATGCACATGTTGAGTGAAGAACAGGTTTTATGTGATAGCTTTCTCTTTCTTGTAACAGATGTTTAGTTTTAAATGTTGAGCGATTTTTTTTGTTAGGTTTGTGTTTTTTCCTAGTCTCTCTCTTAGGTTGTCATTTGTTCTTAAAAGGTCAAAGATATTTATGTATATCTGTGAGATGACTTATCTTTAAAACAAATTTTAAAACAATTAACAAATGTGTTTCTTGAGGGTTTAAAGATTTCTTCCAGAAATTTGTCATAATTCAGTTTATAAAAGAAACATATTCAGATGAAACTAGTAACTAAAAGTGATAAATACTGAAACATGACCTTGCTTGTTGCTGCAAATTTAATATTTTTTGATATTTACCTTCCCAAGCTATGGGCATAACTAATAGGTAGACATGTGAATGATAAACCCTTCACTGCAGAATTACTGACCTTTTTAAAAAACAAACATAAGCAAAATAATCTTTAAAAGTAGGTTCTGTCCTCTCTCTGACATGGACCTCTTTTATGCATCAGTTATGTGCTGTTCACCAAAAGAAAATAGAAACGTATTGTAATGTCTGTCTTCTGGACAGCCGCCTGTGATTCCATTATCGAAATAAGCATTAGGATCCTCCCTGTACCTTCTACATCAGCCATATTTTAAAAGTAATAGCTATATTTTCGTTGTTCACCCACTCAGTACAAGCATAGTTTCACCTAATAGTGACCTGGGCAGGATAGAAACCCTCAAAATTCTCTTTGCAAAAAAACAGTAAATAACCCTAGCTTGTTGCTTTAGATACTATATGGCATTTTACCTGCTGTTCTTGTATGATTCCTGGGAGTCTAGGAAAGTGAAAGAAGCTTATTTTTCAAATATACTTGAGAAACAACTTGTAACTTGATTTGCTTTTTCTTTCTCTTTACAGTGTACTGAAAGAATTTGAGCAAGTCCCCAGCCACCTGATAGAGGAGCTGCATCTCTTCTCGCTGGATGATCTGGTGAAGATCAAACGAGGGCATTTACTGCCCCTTCTTAAAGATATTCTGAAGAGCTCCACCTCCCATGTGGATGGTTGTGAGGTAAGCAAAAGCCAAGGCTCTTGATATCCTTGCAGCTGCTAGTATGAGGGATATCCCTGCCAATGTTCCCAAATAACTTTTTCTTAGATTAAAAGTAAGTCAACTCTTTTGCTGTCCTTGTAGCTCTGTCAAGCGAAGGGGTTTATCTGCGAATTCTGTCAGAGTGCAGATCTGCTCTTTCCACATCAGATTGCCAAATGCAGAAGGTGCACAGGTATGTTCCAGACCAAATGTTTTTCTTTTTCTTGTGGGGGATAAAAAAAAAAAACTGTGTAAAACTGCTCAGACTTATTTTAGGAAAACATTGAGAACTTGTTTCACAGGAAGCATTTATGTTTGAAAACCTGCATGTGTATTTGAAAACCAGCCTATGGCAGCTGTCTTGCATCAGTGAATTCAGAGAGCAACACCAGAAACTTGCCTGAACATAATTATGGCTGCAGGGGAGGCTATTTTTTGGGTCTGTGCATGAGAGCAAGCCTGGGACAGTGCTATGCTGCTGCTATATCAGATCTTGCTGACATTCAATGTAAATCCTGTGGATCTTACCAAAATGTTCAGTCATAGTTACTACAGCGCTTCTTGCTGTCCTGACCTCGCACTGCTGCTGTTTGCTTTTATACCTGGGTGAACTAGATAGAACATCCTTCAAGGAGCACAGCTGTTGATTCATTTTTTTAATTTTTCTTTTTCCTGAATGTTAAACAGAGTGCAAAACATGCTTTCACAAAGCATGCTTCAAGTCTGGAGGCTGCCCCAAATGTCTGCGGATCGCAGCTCGGAAGACATTTTCAGAAACTCCATCACTGGTGCCTCCGTGAAACTGGATTCCTCTGACTGTTTATTTCAGAAGATGCTCAAAGACAAATCTTCAGGTGCCTGACTAAGAATGAGATAATGTTGTTTTAGACATTACCATTTTTAATGCATGTCTCCTTCATATGAGGGGTTAAAGAGGAAAAAAAAAAAAAAAGACAAAAAAAAGAAGAAAAAAAAGACTTTACTATCATCATTGAAAACTCATCCTAAAGAAGTTTCTTCTTAACTGGTGACAGAAATACTGGATGTTAATTCTGTGAGCAGCCTTTTGTTGCTATGTTTTGTTCTTGTATGTAATATTTTTTTAATATTATATTTTTCCATATACAAATTACTCTTCTCTGTAATTCTGCAAATAATGCATAGATAGTAAAGGAGTGTTGGAAATCCTTACCTGTGTCAGATTTTGGAAATAGGAAAAAGTGGTAAAGTATGAAATCATTCTCCAAAGCTCTGCAATAGAGAGAACTTGTCTGCAAGCTTTAGGCAGATGCTGATCTGAGATTCTGTTCTGGCAAATGCTTAATGTGAACCAGTGGATTTTAGGTTTCTTTTAAACAGATGTATGGAACAGCTTGTGATGGGTTGACCTTGGCCTGCTGCTAGATGCCCACCCAGATGTTCTCTCACTCCCCCTCCTCAACAGGACAGGAGGAGAAAATAAGATGGAAGAGAGAAAAACGCAGAGATCACTTACCTGCTATTGTCCTGGGCAAAACAGACTTGAATTGGGGAAAATTAAATTTATTGCCGATTAGAAATTGAGTAGTGTGGTGAGGAACAAAGACAAAACTAAACCAACAACAACTTCTTACCTCACCCACCCTTTTTCCCAGGCTCAACTTCTCCATTCCCGATTCTTCTGCCTTCTCCCCGCCTCAAGTGGTGCAGGGGTATGGGGAATGGGTGTTGCGGTCAGTCCATAACAGTTCCTCTCTGCTGTTCCTTCCTCTTCTTGCTCCAGTGTGGGATCTTCCTGTGGGCTGCAGTCCTTCAGGATAAACCTACTCCTGCATGGGCTCTGCAGGAGATATAGTTTCCTAGTAGGAAATATCCATGTGCTCCAGTGGGGTCCTTTCCATGGGCTGCAGGGGAATCTCTGCTCGGTACCTGGAGCACCTCTTCCCCCTCCTTCACCAACCTTGGTGTTGGTACTGCTGTTTCTCACTCCCCCTTGCCTTTGCAGTGTTTTGCCCTTTCTCAAATACATTTTCTCCAGACATACCTCCATCTTGGCTGAGGTGCTCAGCTGTGTCCTGCGGTGGGTCCATTGGAGCTGTCTGGAAGCAGTTTTGTCTGGCAATGGGGCAGCCCCAGCCTCTTCACACAGAGCAGCCCCCCACTGCCAACACCTTGCCACTTACATCAGTACATCACTCTAGAGGTTTCTTTCCAGAGCACTCAGAAATGTGAGGAAAGGCAGTGAGCGAGCAGGAGAGATGCTCCTGTTTAAGTCCACTATCATGCTTGCAGACCGAGTCCTTGTCTAAAGATGAAGTGCTGGAGGTTGAAAGCAGCTTTTTTTCCCAGCCTGGCGGGTTGCTTCTGATGAAAGTGGCTGAGGAAGCAGCCCCTGCCTGCAGAAACCCAGAGCAGCTGCTTGAACCTGTAAAACCATTTTTCTGTTTGTGCCACGTACGAAGTACCAACAAACAGAGAAACCCCAGAACTTGAAAGCATTTACTAAAGTTCTGACTCTCCAATGGAGTGCTCTTAATACTTTGAATTCGTTGTTCTCATTTTGTGCTTTGTTCTGTCTCTCCTCACCATCTAGCTTCAGCTTTTAGCAAGGAAAAGATCAGGTGTCTGTTACTAAGGTCTGTGTAAGTTCACCTCCACATGATTGCCCACAGGACTAGTAAGTTCACTAACTCTTCCACTTAGCTATTTTTTTCTGTGGCCAAAACCAGCTTACCTACTTATGGCTCAGAAGCAATGTTATAATCTCTTACTCAAGATCACCAAATGGATACTGACATAGGGTGAGACATGGTGAGAAAGAGCCTGCTTATGCAGCTGACTGTATTTAATGTTATGCAAGAGTAAATTCTCATTGAGACTAACTGAATCACATGAGAGGCCTTGCTGTAGGGATTTTCTGCTTATGAAGGAGCTCACCTGAATAATCCTCCTGTGGGATAATCCGCAAGGCAACTGAATACATCTTTTTCATTATTCATGAATTTAGAAGAGCTGATCTGTTTTCTGGCTGTGCTTTTCACAAAGGTTCGAGTCTCACTAAACAGTAGCGGTACGCAGAAGGGGGAGCATCAGAGAGTGAGTTTCATGCATCAAGTGTTGATGCTTTACATCCACTTAGTTCAGTCCAGATCTCGGTAGAGCCTGTACAGCTCATCCTAATTGCTATGTACCACAACGTATATTGCAGCAAGAGAAGGTCCTCGATGAGAGGCAGAAAGCTGGAGATCCAAGAGGATCATCACACCTATAATCCAAATAAAACTAGTTAAAATGTTCTGCTACTGAAGCTAAAGAAAGAAGGAACAATTTGTGAGGTGCTAACAGGTTGGTCACAAGTTAGAAGGAGTAACAGAGGCCGCTATTTGCTGCTTCGAGGAGGTGGTGCTCTTGACTGGGTCATACCAAAACTGTGTTCTTGGGTGCTGGTGTCAGCATGAGATACCACAAGAGCAAGCTGAGGCCATTCTCCCTGAACCTCCTCTCTGGTGAGAAGTGAGGCATGAGTGACTAGACCTGTAGCCACAAGGTGTTCTCAGCTGCTATTCTGAGATAACATAAAGGAACCACAATGCAACTGAAAGTATGTACTGTCTCTGTATTTGGATGGGAAAGGGTGACTTCCACGCTACAAACCCTCTAGGTGTCTTCAGAGTGTAGCTGTGTTCTTTGAATCAAGTTTTGAGAATCATTAAGCTTTTTACATCAACACTATGCTCTTCCTGAGCGTATCTCTTAAGGATATGTACTGAGTTGCATCAAAAGCAGTGTGGCCAGCAGGTTGAGGAAGGTGATTCTGCCCCTCTTCTCTGCTCTTGTGAGACCCCACCTGGAATACCGTGTTCAGCTCTGGAGTCCCCAGCACAAGAAGGACATGGAGCTGCTGGAGCGGGTCCAGAGGGGTGCCCCGAAGATGATCCGAGGGCTGGAACACCTCTGCTATGAAGACAGGCTGAGAGAGTTGGGGCTGTTCAGCCTGGAGAAGAGGAGGCTTCGGGGTGATCTTCTTGCAGCCTTCCAGTACTTAAAGGGGGCCTGCAGGAAAGCTGGAGAGGGACTTTTTACAAGGGCGTGTAGTGATAGGACAAGGGCCAATGGATTTAAACTGAAAAAGGGCAGATTTCAATTAGATATAAGGAAGAAATTTTTCACTCAGAGGGTGGTGAGACACTGGAACAGGTTGCCCAGAGAAGCTGTAGATGCCCCATCCCTGGAAGTGTTCAAGATCAGGTTGGATGAGGCTTTGGGCAACCTGGTGTAGTGGAGGATTTCCCTGCAGGGGGATTGGAACTAGATGATCTTTGAGGTCCCTTCCAACCCTAACCATTCTATGATTCTATGATTTCTGAGGTTAAACCAGATAATAAGGCAGATCCAAACCAGGACTTCTTAAGAAACAAAAGCTGTATGGCTACAAGGACTCTCTTTGCAGGAAGTAAAATCCAACATGTGGAAGCTCTGAATTCTTTGAGAGAAGACATAGAGGTGTTAGTCTGTCTTACGCAGGACTTACCTGAGTTCAGAGTAAGTTGCCTGCTACCTAGAAAGCTGTACATGCTTCACAGAGGACAGTGACAAGAGACATGACTCTTCAGCAAGGGAAAGGGAATTGGTGCATGCTTCTGTTTGCCCAAGCAATGGGGACCAATGCTCATTCTTATCAGTGGATTTCCATGATGCTTTGTGGATGCAACAGGAGCAGGTCTGAGAAACCTATGGACAACTGCTCTTGGGGACATAGGAGGCAGAGAAACCTATTCCTATTTAACTGCTTGCCTCACTCCACAGGCACAATTCAGGTCAAGACAGTTTTACTAGTAATTTCCACAGGAGCAGATTCTCAAAAGAATACAACACCCATATCTTACTCTTGCTGCTACTAATTTTACCTGTTTTTCCACTAGTTATTTCTTTGTACTGTTTCGTTGTATTTTTTCTCTTAGTTTCAGTTGTGAGTTGTCTGGAGGTGGAAGTCCTTTGCTAAGACTTTGTACAGTGCATTGCAGCCAGGATCTTTCACGATACATCATACAGCTGTTACTGTAAATAATAGAATAATATTAATTGCCAGGTATAGTATGGACTCGCAAATACAGGTCTTGTTGGAACTGTAAGGAAGTGTGCCTAGTAATTAAGTAGTTTTGTGGGGCCATATAATTCCAAGGATGTGTCACACCCATTACTTTAAGAGAGGAAAATATCTGTGTGTTTTATGAGAAATTATATTTTGTCTAGTTTTGCACACAGAGTACACAGGCTCCTTCAGCAGAAGTCTTTCATCTCTGGATGTGCCTGTTTTCATGTTTTTCATTTTTTTAAAGGAAATGGGTCAAGGATCTGCTCCTTCGGCTGGATGCCCACAAGTCTATGGGGCCTGATGGTATCCACCCGAGAGTCCTGAGAGAGCTGGCGGATGTCATTGCCAAACCCCTGTCCATTATCTTTGGGCAGTCTTGGCTCACTGGGAAAGTTCCGCTGGACTGGAGGCTGGCGGACGTTACCCCCGTTTACAAAAAAGGGCGGAAGG